TCCTAGAAATTCAACCTCAGTATCCTTGGGAAGAAGATTTCCACAATGACTAAACTGTGGCATTTTTGCACCGGAATGCCTTTGAATCTGATGAGAGTGAATTTTATTCCTAAGCAGCCTAGTTGAAAAGAAATCATTCTAAAGCAGGAGAAATCAAACTCCTTTTGATTTTAGGCAGGAAAGAGGGACATGCCCCCTCCCAACCTTTTGGACTCCAGGTCCCATCAGCCAGTGGGTGTGGATTAGGGGAGTTCTAACCCCAAAGGTAGGGAAGGAATATCCTTGCTCCTTATTGATTTGCAACGGTCGCTTCAATGCCCCTCCATGGCTGGAGTCCCTGAGCAGCTTAAGGCATGGATGTCATAACATTGCAAGCAAAAATAAGAGCATGAAATGATTATCGAGCACCATTTGGGGGTAATGATCCTGTTTGTCTCCCGATGCCTGTTCGAAGAGTTCTCCAAAAATGTAGCAAGGAGATCTGGATATCTGCAGGTAAGATGTTCCAAAGGAGGGGAGCCATCCCCAAGAAGGCCTTGTAGGTTTGGAAGATGCCTCCTGTGCTCCTATGGAAAAAAGGAGAATGCCTTTTGAATGATGGTTACTGAAGCATGCGATCTGTAAAAAAATGCACGACCGCAAACTCTGGTATACAGTTTGTGGTCATTTAATCCCGGGCACCTTTTCCTTGCTTTCAAAGTCTTTAAATCCATATTCTGTTGCAGAGCCCCATTCATCCTCTTGCATCCAGAACCAGTTCTCTATAACTTTCCTTTTTTCAGAATTAGTTCTGCCCCTTATTACAACCTGTGAGAGTAAGGGGGGAAAAACCATCCATAGCATTTTCTCAAGAAATCCAAGCAGCTTTGTGCAGTTCAGAGATTGTAGTTGTGTGTGTCTCTCTGTGCAAGCATGGTGTGTTCCTGGGCTACAGAGGCGTAATGTGGTGTAGAGCCTGGCATTCATTCAGTTTCATGTTGCCTTTGTGAATTAGGCAAGGTGCTAGCCCCTATGATCATGTTTGGAAAACTAGAAAAGCATTGCCTAGCAATTTCCAGGTGTGTGGACTTCAAATCCCATAATTCCACAGCCAGCAGAGCCCGGGAGGAGAATTCTGGGAGTGGAAGTCCACCTGGAAGTAGCAGAATCTTGAAAACCCAACAGCATTTTCCCTCCCTCCCTCTTACACCCAAGAGGATTAAGGCAGAGTCAATTTAAGTTTCTTTCTATTCTGTTCTTCTGGTCCTGGGCTTAAATCCGGTTTTTGTAATGACCATCTCATCATTTCTCCAAGCTGATCTCTGTGGTTCCTTGCGTAACAAACCAGACTAAGAAAAGAACCAAGGATGTGTGTCCAGAAAAAGAGACATATGTAAAACAAAAACCAGGGAACCCAAAACTGGTAACCAAGATGTGTTCTGATCATCCCAGCCTGTTTGTGTGAAGACAAAAATGGAGAGAGTGTCTTGAAGGAAAGGGGAGGAATCAGAGGTCACCTTAAGCCCTTGGCCCAATTTACAGCATTCCTTTCACCCACTTCACTGAATTGCTTGCAGGGAATCCCAGTTGGAAGAATGCTCCTGAGGGAGACAGGGAAGGTGGGCTGGATCTTTTTGAGGGGTATAAATGTCCATCTTAGAGTGATGTTTGCCATCCGGAAGGATTCAGCTCTTCCAAGCATGGCCAACAGAAAAGGGAGCTAGCAGATGAGAAGCCTTCCTGAACAGGATCAGCTCTCCCCCCGTGTGGTCTCAGACTACAGCTCCCATCACAGCTGGGGAGGATAGGCTGGGAAAGGCTCAGTCCAGCCTTCCCCAACCATGTGCCCTCCAAAGATCTGGACTTCTCCTCCCCCAAATTCCTAGCCAGCAGAGCTGAAGACCAAGAGCTGGCGTCCCCAGGAGATGCGGGGAGTTGAATCTGCCCTCTCGCCAACGAGAGCCGACAGGGAGCCATCTCACAGCACCTCTGCCTCGATGGATCCGGTCAGACCGAGGCAGCCCAGGGGGATAGTTAAACCTCACCTGACAAAGCATCGTAACCAAGAAACCAGATCTATGTCAGAAGAGACCGCTGCTAGCTCTGGCCGGGTGGTGCTGCTCGAGGTCACTGTGAGAAGCAGCAGTGCCAAGCCAAGGAGGGCGATTGAGAGCAGGGGGAGGAAGGGGCAAAGCTGGAACCATCCCTCGACCCACCCCCGCCCCCCAGGGGTGTGATCCACCGCGACCACAGACAACAGTTCCTTGCTTAGGAAATCCGGAAGAATCCACATTCCATCAAGACCCAGATCGTCCTGTCCGGAAAGGTATCTCTTTCTCTTTTTCTCTTCGGTAGCCCCCAATCTGGGGAGGGGGGTGTCTCCGTGTCAGTCGTATGTGTGTGTGAGTTGCGACCCCCCTGTTTTTCCAAAGGCCGAAGGAAGGACGGGAGAGGAGAAGAAATAAACCTTTGTCTTTCTGCCCTGCTTAGCGCCCGCCGAGAGAGAACTTGAGGAATCAGAAGGAGGTGGTTTCCAGATCTGGGGAAGGCGGGTAGAGGCAGAAAGGCAACAAACGCTGTCTTTTAAGTAGAAAACGTTGTGCTCTTCTATACTGACCTACAATCCGATGTGTGTAAACAGGAAGCATTTTGCCCAAGGAATAACAACGTGCCAAGTTGGTTGGAGGCTGGCGGAGACTTTAAAAACAGCCAAATTGTGTCGATTGCGGGACCTCATCCTTTGAAAAAACCCTCCCGCTGTAATCTCTCTTTCTCTCTTTGTCAAAGACAAAGCAGCAGCGGATTCTCTGGCGTCCTCCAGACACCAGTTGAATTGCACAGCCTGGGTCCGTGGCAAGGGCTTCTTTGCTTGCATGTTAGCTTTCTGAAA